TGTATTTTTATGGAAATTAACTCTGGTGACACAGTGGTTAAAGCATTGGGCTGCTAACCAAAGAGTCAGTGGTTTAAACCCACTAACCGCTCCATGTAAATCTCTGCTTCCATTAAGATTTACAGCCTCGGAAACCTATGAGGCAGTACTACTCTGTCGTCCAGGGTCACTACGAATTGCAATCAACTGAATGGCAGTGTTTTTTTATTATTATTATTATTATTTTTGTTATTATTTTTGTTTTGATAATGACTGATTTCTCCAAAACCTGTCAGTTGGGTTTTTATTTTTTCATTTCTTCCCATCATTTGTGTTATAATATATTTTCTATTTTCATCACCACACAGCAATCACTTCTTGCCTGAGTTAGATCCAGATGTGCTTAATGGAGGAAGAGTTCAGCTTGTGGTAAGATATGTGTTTAAAGTTACAGAAAAATGTTAGAGACACTAGTATTCAATAAATGGCACTTTAAAATATGTCCAAAATTAGCTTCAACTATGAAAGTATCACAGTGGTATCTACTTGGGATAATCTCAGAATTCCATGTATTAAAATAACATATTTTCTTAACTTGTATTATAACTTTAAAAATATGAAATTACTTTAAATGTTAGTTTTATATGGCATATTTAAAAACATTAGCATTCTATCGTATTTGAATAGAATTAAAGAACTCTGGAAGGCTAATTGCCCAATGAAATTATCTTCTTGAATATTTTAAAGAGTTGAATCTGTATACTATGCTTGAGATAAATATAAAAGTCCTCACAACTGAACTATTTTAAGTAATAAACTCTAAATTATTGGAGGTTTAGTGACAGCAAATTCTAAGCATGTTGACCAGAGTATCACCTTTAGGTAGTATAACTGTATGTGCATTGCTAAAATCAAATTGTACTATATGCTATCAGAAGGAAGACTGTGCCAAGAGGAGAATGGCCAATACAGTAAGTGAAAAAAATACAGACCACAAAACAAGAACTACTCAATGTGTCCTCAAGAAAAGTCCAGAGAACAGGGTACTCTGCACAGGGGCAGAAGTGTGTGACCTCCTTGGCAGGTGAAAATGGATGCGTCAGGTGACCCTAACCTTATAACACTTTTCATTTATATTTGTCAACAAATACCTCTTGCTCGGATTCTATATTCACCAAGAAAACTGATTATAATTTTGCTTTCCTTGTAGAATTTAGTATAAAAAGTAATGTACTTTTAATGGAAACTAGTCCACAGAGCTGTTACATTCATCATTCTTATAGACATCTTCTTCAAGGAATTCTTATGGAAGAGGAACAAAAATTAGGGCAATAACAAGATAAAATTGATGTGTTTATGAAAATATTTATAGCATTTATGTAAAGACTGGAATAATCACTCACAAATTATTTATATATTTTAATAAAAACCTCTCTAGGAAAAATGGTAGGAAGATAACCCTAAGATGATTGATACCTGAGATTTTTAATACCTTACTTATTACTGATTAATACTTTAGCACAGAATGATGAGTGGTCACCCTGTAGCCAAAATGGAGAACATAAAAGTGCCAAGAAGTACTGGGTTAAAGGAAGAAATATTCTATTTATTCATTGTATTTCTAAAAATGAATAAAGACAGATTGGATATAGTTCTGATCAAAATGGTTCTATGAGGTTAATACTCCAATGCTAATCTTCTTTCATACCCTTTTCAATATATATAAATACATGACAAATATATAGCAATAATAATTACTGAACTAGATAAAAGCCCAAAGTAGAAATCATGCAGAGTATCAGGGACTGAAAATACTCTATTTGTATTAGGGAACTGCAGGCAAATGATTATACAGAATTAGAGCTGCTGCTAGGCCATAACTATGAGGAAAATGAAATATAATAAAAATAAAAAAAGTGCAACTGCTGCTACCATGTTTAAAATCCTCAAAGATATAGGAATAATACATAAGGGCAAGAAATTATGACACTAAAGTGATCAAATGCTAATAAAGAACATTGTTGTTGTTGTTATGTGCCTTCGAGTGAACCAATTGGAAATTCTGGAGATAAAACATGTTATCATTGAAATAGATTCTGGAATGGACCAGTAAAAGGGAGACCTAGTGAATTGGAAGATTACCTACAAAGGAGAAATAATTAACTTGCCAGTTTACATCTTACCAGAAACAATGCAAACCAAAAGATTTAAGTACCACCAAGAATATTCTTCACTATCATTCAAGAGTGAGGGGAAAATAAGGCTTAACCAAATATTCAAATACTGCTATTTGAGGAAGCTAATAAACAACTTAATCTTTGTCTTCTGAACAAAGAATATGGAGTGATAAATATAGGAATTAGAAAAATGAAAATAATTAACTCCAGGATGTTTCTACAGAAGGCAGCCTCCGAAATCAGTTTCCCCACCTCATTCTGAGTTTCTGAGACTTGAGGGCAGGAAGTTATATGGGAAGGTCTTTCAGGAACACCTTCTGTAAAGGATGAAAGAAGCAGGATTGAAGAGCTGGGGCTGGGGTAGAAGTAAACTTCAATGGAACCTCAGGAGAAGAAGGGAGAAGTAAGCTCTGATGGTGGAATGTTCTTTTTGAGTTGTTGAGGCAACAGAGCCAAGCTTTTATGTCCCTGCGTCACTTCAGGAAAGGGTGTCATTTGATTAAGGCAGTTCTCTTCAACTAAGGACAATTTCCAGATAATCATCTGGTAGCTACCACGTTTCCACTATCTCA